GGCTCTGCGCCGTGCTCAGCCGCTCCCGCAAAGGCCAACGCCTGCATGTGGAGGGCTTAAGGCAGCCGGCGCGGAGCTGGGGATGCGACCGGGGCCAAATCCCTCTTCCCCATCGCCATCTCTGGGCTAGGGGCGAGTTAGACAAAGCCCTGAGCCGGAGCGGGAGCCCCCATGTTCCGCCGGCGGCCCGTGGGGAGCTCTGCCCGCTGGGCAGCCGAGGGCTGGTGGCACGAAGCCGCCTTCTGCGTCGGGTGATGCTGCAGGAATAAAATGAGAGGTTGACGGGTGCTGGAGACCGACCCGCTTCTCACCCCGCTCTCGGCTGCCTCCCACCCGGAGCAGCGCTTTGGGACGGGCTCTCCTCCTCCTCGGCTGATGTCTCCCGCAGCCGCGGCTCCGGTGGTGGCCGAGGACGATGCTCCGCAGCTCGAACCCCACCGGGAAATGCCTCCCGCTGCCTTCGGCATTTGGTAAAACGCTTACAAGCGAGGCCGCGTTTTCTTCATTTCCTGCCTGCTCCCGCTTCCAAGGAAACAAAATTCCCCCAAGCCAGGGCTGAGGTTTCGCGTTTAAATGTAACCCAGGCCAATAACCGGAGCTGCTCAGCACTCCCCGTGGCCCGTCGTTCCCAGCTCGGCCGCCCGCGGTGGTGGAGGGGAGCAGGGGGGGAATGTCGGTGCTCATGGTCCCCGCCGGGACTCACCCACGGTGGGCACCCCAGTAAATCACTGGGAGCGGAGACCCCTCCCCGGGATGCGGTGCAGGGCGATGGGCAGCTCTCTCCTCCGCCCCAGGTGGGTCAGTCGGGGTTCAGGGCGCAGACGGGAGGTTTTGGGGAAACGTTGACCTCCCTCCATCCTCCACGCTGGCGAACCTCCCCCCTCCCTGTTTTTGGCATCGAGGGGAGGGACGGCTCTCGCCTGGCAGGACCCAGCTCTGGCTTTGCCGTGGTTACTGCCAGCGCTCTTGCCCGGTGTCCCTGCTCCCGGTGGCGAAGGACGGGCGTTTGGAGCCGTAGCTGAGCGCCGCTGATGCCAAGGGGGGAGAGGCTGCCCAG